CTGAACAATGCAAATCAGGAGCAGATCAAACACCGACCTCTAAAACAACTTAAGTGGGATCAGGTGTCATGGAGTAGTGAGCATCCTCTGCAGACCAGTCCACGCGCGCCGTATGCTTCTTGTCATAAACGATAATTAATGGAAAAATCCGTGGACAATTCATTTGAATATCTTATGATAATACATGTATGTTTTACGGTGTGACCGTTGGGGAAAGCGCAGTTGTTTCGAAAACACACTTGAAACAATGATCAGCCACCTCAAACATCAAGTCGCACGGGATATCTCGACTAACTGTGACGTCACGGAGTTCGTCGGAGTTTACAGAGAAAGCCAAGCGTCTGATTGAACCTACAGACATAGTGCAATTTAAGACGAAAGTCATTGTAGAGATTTTTTTATGTTTCTTTTAAGATTTCTACAAACTTAAAGCCTTTTGTGTTTTATGTTATTTATTTATTCGCCATTATTGCATGCAATCATGGTAGCAAAGGATTCTGGGAAGGTTTCACATAAAATTTGCTTGACGTACAAATTTCATTCCGACTTTCCTCTGTTCTAACGCGTTAGTCTATGCGAGCCCGCGACGCTCGTTGTGCTCGCTTTCATTGAAGCATTCTCGATAGTATGTAAATGTTTCAAGTGTTTTTTCCGGAAACAATTTTTTGCAACAAAGACTAAGTAGAATTACAGATATCTCTCTGAATGGATTGAACTTTTGGCAAGATTCCATAATCCAATACAGACTTCTAATGTAATTGTACACTGATACTTTCTTTCAATTCTGTGCATGAAACAGCAGTCTATAATAGACTTAATTAAGATTCCTTTGTAGAATTGTTTGAATTATAATATATAGCAATTAGTCAAGATTTGCACAGCAAAGTGATCAACACTAGTCATTTGCTTAGTCGGAAATTCTAATGTCCAATGTACAAATAAACCTAGTTTTATGATAACATGATAAAAAAAAATAGCTGGATAAGTTATTAATATTATGAGGGAAACTACAAGGGCCACGGGCGTGATATTTGAAGTTTTCATGTCTTAGCTCGAAGAAGTCTGAGTGTATTTGAGAGAACTATTCTCAAGCGAGAAGTAAAACAAAATACAGTTTTTAGGATCTTTTAAGGACTACACTAACCATGCAACTAAAAATGACGTAGACATCATTGATAGTACTTTTACAAGTACAATAGAATTCCAAGCCGCAAACTACTACATGAGAGAGAGAGAGAGAGAGCTTCGGGGTTGTATAAAAATATGGAGAAAAGTCTTGTATGTTGAGCACAATTTCTGCAAAAGTATATAATGTAAATAGTTTATTTAAAATCCCAAAAAAAGTTTTCTGTCACATTTACTTTCAAATCCATTCAGTATGTATTATGTTAAATTTTCCAAGAAGTTTGAACACCAAGAAAATCCCCAAATTTTTTTAATAGTAAGTGCATCGTCGTGTAGACCAACTAAATGCTGTGTGCACGAGGATTACAGGAAACTGTTTTAAGATGCTTGAACCCCACCCCCCCACACACACGCACACACACACCACAACCACCACCAAAAGAAAGTAAAATTAATCAAAGTACTGAAAGTACTGAAAAGCGGTTAGCATGCTTTCATCGAATATGTACAGTGTACAATCACAAAAAATACATTGAATGAAGATATAAAGTAGGCATGCATATCTTTTAACAGTGTCATCAGCGAAGAAGCAGACACAATGAATTTTGTAGTACTTAACTTAATGGTATAACCAATAACATCCCAGACTATATGTCATAAATGTTTGTTTCAAAATATCAACCTGCGATTTTCAGTTTGAAAAACAGAAATTATCTCCCTAATTATCTCCATTGGTGGCGTCCAAAAGTGCTCAGAACGAAAAAAAAAATTAGGTTGGTGTTGCCAATTTTATTGGCTTTCATGCTCTATTGATTCTGAAATTAGGTAACTATAAAGGCTCTGTAGCAAACATTTTCAAAAAGAAAATAAAATGATCAGTCAAATTCTTTAGATTAATTGATTTGGAGTACTGTACATAGATCTTTAGCTGGCTAGTCTGAGGAAAACGGATTGACGAGCAGAGAATTAATTACGGTAATTTCAGAGAGCTTCATTATCGTAGGCTCACTGCGGGTCAGCAGGTGGGTTCATTCTATCTATTCCCACTTTTTGAAAATGAATTTTTCCCTGGAAACAAAGCCTTTATCATCTTTTAAAGCCATATATGGCGTATGTTCAGTGAAAATTATTAGACTAAAATTATAAGAACCTATTATTTGTATCATTACTTTATATAAAGATAAAACATTTCCGAAAATTACAAAATCTAAGTCAATTGCATTACAAAGATATCACAATTTAATTTGGATTTTTGGAATTTTCTCCGACTCGGAAGAAAATACAAAAGATTTAAATAACACATTACAGAGAAGATAAAATCGTGTTATTAGGTGCTTTCCGTGTTCAGAATTGTACGAAAAGCTTTAATTTAAATGTATTAACTATATTTCTTTACTTAATTTTGATTTTCACAGAAATATATTTTTTTGATCAGTTACGCCATATATGGCTTTAAATAATTTCAATTGAGAAAAAAGGAGACGAAAAGAAACGTTTCATTATGGAAGTAATCCATAACTGTACAACTTACTTCTGTATTTTTATATAAAGGCTTTATATCGTGTACTAGTATAACTTAAATTAATTAAAGGTATGCCTTCATATTTTGGAAAATGAAACTATTGAGAGATTCTCCGATGTTTTGCAGTTGGTAATAATCAACCCCTTAAGCCAGTAATTAATCCGTCCTCCCTGTGCCCAGTAGCATAATTCGGTCAAATATTTATTGTTCATGAGAGTAGCCTTATAATTAATCACAGGCACTTGAATTTTTATCAATAAGTCTCTAAATTAGCCAAATATCGAAACATTCTACCCCCTCTATATATAAATACACAAGACGTCCAACGCCAGTTTGACCCCCTGTTCGATTCAGGCTTCAATTTAACACATAAATCGGAAATGCCTACTGGTTTTCTTGTAGCATTAGATTCAAATATATTTCTCGCTATATTTTTCTTCCTAAAGTTTAAATCTAACACGTTGATAATGTTATCATCTTAACTCCATGCTGACTTCGAATTTCGTCACAGGGCCCGATCGCCATCAGCTGATGTCACGGAAATTTAATCTCGATACAAATGCTTCTATACATAAACTTTTTTAATACAACAATTATAAATTTATTTCATTGACAAACAAAATCAGAAAAAAAATTTAAAAACCCAAAGATTATGTTGTTTTGATAGTCTTTATTTTATTTAACATATGTTATATGTGTAGAAACAAATCATAGGTACTAGCAGGGGTACTAGGTAGACATGCAAAGTTTGCCCCTGCATTTCTGCATGTAACCCCAGATAAAGCATAGACTTTCGGTTATTTCCGCCAAAGATCGGAAAAGCTCGGAAAAGTTTTTGCTCATAGGTAGCGCCTTATGGAGGTTTCCGGTTGCCGACACATGCCATATAGCGGCTAGCGAAGCTAACCGCTTAAAAATTGCACACAATTTTCTAGAATTGTGTATTATTACTTTCTTTGTAGGAATTTATTGTTACTTTCTTTGTAGAAAGATTCTAACTCCTACCAATTAAGAAAAAAGCTCTTTTTACATGTAGTTCTTAATTAACAGTTTACAGATTTGGAAACAAGAAAAAGCAGTGCTTTCTATGTGAAAGCTGAAACCTTTTTGCTTTTCGACAACATGTGAATAACCAATTTAAATTTGACTGAACTAGGCAAATAAATTTCATACAGTCATGTACGTTAAATATATGGGGGTTTCAGAAAATTTCTTTCATTTCAACTGTATTGTGATTTTATTAATAAACTAAAGTTATTCTGTTTCTGTTATATTGAATTACATTTTGAACATTTTGAAAAAAATCAAAGTGTTGAAACACTTTTAACTTCATGATTAATACAAAATCTACCTCCTTTTTTCGCGAAGTCGATAATGGAAGCAAAATACAAAATAAATATTTAATTCATAAAGAAGTTGGCAGTGTAAAACAAATTGACCAAAAATATAATTCTTTTCATTTTAAACTTCTTCAATATTAATTCAACTCAATGCTTTATCTCGTGATTCTCGTATTTGTTTCCATACATCATTTTCAGTATGCAATCTCATATGATACTACATGTACGATACGTTATTCGTGGGAGGTATGATAAGACAGACTTCACATTACAACTTATCTCTCAATCGGAGAGAACACGTGTATATTTAAACACCTATTTTCTTCTTGAAATTCAAAGTTTATCAGTTGATATTTTTCCAGAATATTGAAAAACTAAATGTACGTTTTAACCCTCCCCCCCCCCCCACAAACGAACAATTAACTATATGACTACCTCTTCCAGTAATTAATATTTTCATACTAATTGTTAACCCCTTTAGACGACGGAATTTTTTCGTTATTTCCCGATCATGGCAAAGAGCGCACGGTGGGTGTGGCCGTTCGGCAGGGGATGCTCACTCTTCCGTGGCATCTGATCCCACCTCTGAAGTTTTGGAGGTCCATGTTTGCTCCGCTGCTACTTTTTTTTTTATTGTTTTATAAAATTTTGAGCCGAATATTTCATATGTTTGAAAATTATAATGTTTTGGATATTACAATTTAGCTTTCCCACTGATAATTTTTTGAAGATATCCCTAATTTTAATTGATTGGTTCTGCTGACAAAAATCAGCCTATATTTCCAGTAATTTTGAATTATCGTATAATAAGTATCCTAAAGTTTTCAAAGAAAAATTAACAAGTATACATTTTCTTTTCTAGTGTATTCCTGAAAGTTTGTTTCAGGGGAGGATATAAAATTTCCAGTGATCATAAAATCACATTAAGGTCCTTTCGATTCAATTTTTTAACCTCTAAAATTATACAGGGAAAAAGAAAATAATATAAAATGCGACGAAAAAATGAAACTTACCTTAAATGTTCATCCATGATTTACATTTACAAAATAAAATAAGCCAACTCAAGCGTAAGTTCCCCAGAAGAAATATTCCGTATAAAACATGATCAGTTTCTGGAGGACGGCCGTCCTTATAGAGGATTCAATATAAATAAATTGTCCTCTGTTCTTGTTAATATATATATCACAGTTTTCCTCGATCGATTTCGATGCTTAGGATCCATATTTCTTCGCTTCTCTTTCGTTGTTGCACTAGTGATCTATTTATATTCTCCGAAATGTTTTCCGTTCTGTTAATTTTTTTTTTTATCAAATTTCTATCAAAGAAGTAAAGGTCGATCAAATCGATTTTACAAATTTTGTAAAGAATAAATAATTAAACATTGTACTTTTCTCGAGGCATAAGTTTTAAGGAACAGGAAATATCGATGAGAGACACTTAATGCAAGGGGTTCTGAATACCCTCTTTTAGATAAAATTGTTGACTATTTGAAAACCATCTGATAAAATTGAGTGGCGCAACTGTTCTATTATGTAGTAGAGCAAATTGTTTTGCCCACACACAGTAAGCTAAAGTAGCAAAGAGCCTTACAGGAGTTGATTATTATTTTAGACTAAATTTCTCTTTGAAACCTACGGGGAATTGCATATGTATCAGGTGTATGATTTGATTGTGCAGTGCATGTTCCGTAAATTTGATTCGCCTCGAGTCCAAAGATGACTCTACATGTATATGAAGGGAACAGACTCGGCCTCTACTTAATTCCTGGAAGGAACGCCAATCCAGATGATTTTATTGAACTAAGAGCGCTTGGTTAAAGCGGTTTCGTCAATTTCACACGATTTTACCACAGTTCTATATCAAAAGCCTCTTACATTTTTTTTTACTTCTTCGATTGTATCTACTTGAGAGCATAATTCTACTGTGTAAACTTGTAAGATGTTGACAAAACGCAATCTTTATGGTCATTTAATGGTCTTTATCTATTAAGAGTCTTATATGAACGGAAAACAACATTAAAGATTAAAAACACTAAAAGGATGTAGAAAAAAGAAAATCGACTTAGGCAGTGGTGTTAGCTTTCTACAGAACATAAGAATTTCGTCAGTCCTTTACACTCTCAGTGTGTAATTTTTCAAAATGGATAGTTGAAGGTTCAACGTTTAAACTTCTTTAATGTTTTTTTAGAGTAAAAATGAAATGACCAGAAAAGATCAATGTAGCATCGCCAGGTCACAATAAACGTTATCACAGTCTGTGACCAAGTGACCGACAACGTCATGAACGTGACCGGATTTATTGACAGCTAGATAAAAATACTGATCCGTCGCTAATCGTCACCTTTTTAAAAAGAAAATCGATCTTAAACCAGATGCTATAAAAACAGATATAATACATTTATGATACATGCACTATAACAAGTTTTTTGTCCCCATCCTAGCGAAGCCAACGGAGATTTAACGTTTCCTCCTCCCCAGTCCGTCTACGGAAGCGTATTAGTGCCACTCGCACACTTTACTTTTTTTTAATTTCTACACTTAAATCTGTAAATTTTACACTTTAATCTATAAATTTTACACTTTAATCTGTAAATTTTACACTTTAAAGTGTCGATTTTACATTTTAAAGTGTCGATTTTACACTTTAATGTATAAATTTTACACTTAAATCTGTAATTTTACACTTTTATCTGTAAATTTTACACCTTAAAGTGTAAAATTTACACTTTAATCTGTAAATTTTACACTTTAAAGTGTAAATTTTACACTTTCATCTGTAAATTTTACAGTTTAAAGTGTAAATTTTACACTTTAAAGTGTAAATTTTGCACTTTAAACTGTCAATTTTACACTTTAATCTGTAAAATTTACACTTTAATCTGTAAAATTCACACTTTATTTGTTTTTTCACATAGTCAATTTAGCAATTTCACTCATTCCCAGTAACGCATTTTAAAGCCCAGACCGTTAATCATGCAAGATAATTACAGAAACGTAATATCAATCTGAACTGCAAATAAAAAAATCTTTGAGATATATATTTTTACTTTTCGGTACACTATAGTAAAACTAAAGAAACACATGTATATATACTGAAACAAAAGCAGATATCTGATTTCTTATGCTGGGGAAAATTATGAGACCCATGAGGAAATAGTCCATCCTTGTTTATCATATACTAATAAACAAGTACGAGTACATGTAAAATAAAAATATACAAACAATTGTAAACATCTCAGTTTAATACTTTTTCTCAAGTGTCATAAAACATAAAACGTAAAACATCACAAATCGACCATTCAAACATAAGCTATTGCAGTTCAGGTTGTTCAAAATAAGTGCAAAAATTTACAGATTAAAGTGTAAAATTTACAGATTAAAGTGTAAAATTTACAGATTAAAGTGTAAAATTTACAGATTAAAGTGTAAATTTTACAGATTAAAGTGTAAATTTTACAGATTAATGTGTAAAATTTACAGATTAAAGTGTAAAATTTACACTTTAAAGTGTAAAATTTACAGATTAAAAGTGTAAAATTTACACTTTAAAGTTTAAAATTTACACTTTAAAGTGTAAAATTAAAAAAAAGTGATTAAAGTGTAAAATTTACACTTTAAAGTGTAAAAATTAAAAAAAAAGTGAAGTGTCCAAGTGGCACTAATACGCTTCCTAATTTTATGATAAATGCAAATGATAATCATAATCGTAAAATTTACACTTTAATCTGTAAATTTTACAGATTAAAGCGTAAAATTTACACTTTAAAATGTAAATTTTACAGATTAAAGTGTAAAATTTACAGATTTAAATGTAAAATTTTCACTTTAAAGTGTAGAATTTACAGATTAATGTATAAATTTTACAGATTAATGTGTAAATTTTACAGATTAAAGTGTAAAATTTACAGATTAAAGTGTAAAATTTACACTTTAAAATACTTTAAAGTGTAAATTTTACAGATTAAAGTTTTAAATTTACACTTTTAAGTGTAAATTTTACAGATTAAAGTATAAAATTTACAGATTAAAATGTAAAATTTACACTTTAAAGTGTAAAATTTACAGATTAATGTGTAAATTTTGCAGATTAATGTGTAAAATTTACAGATTAAAGTGTAAATTTTACAGATTAAAATGTAAAATTTACACTTAAATCCGAAGTACTTTAAAGTGTAAATTTTACACATTAATCTGTATAATTTACAGATTAAAGTGTAAATTTTACAGATTAAAGTATAAAATTTACAGATTAAAATGTAAAATGTACACTTTAAAGTGTAAAATTTACAGATTAATGTGTAAATTTTACAGATTAATGTGTAAAATTTACAGATTAAAGTGTAAAATTTACAGATTAAAGTGTAAATTTTACAGATTAAAATGTAAATTTTACAGATAAAAGTGTAAAAGTTATACTTTCAATTGTAAAATTTACACTTTAAATTGTAAAATTTACAGATTAAAGTGTAAAAATTACAGATTAAAGTGTAAAATTTACAGATTAAAGTGTAGAAATTTAAAAAAAGTGAAGTGTTTAAGTGGCACTAATACGCTTCCGTATCCGTCTTTCGCTCTTCTTAATTATCAATTACTCTATTTCACATTAAGTTTTCCGCATTTTTACCTCTAAACAAACGCTTGCAAATATTGTGATGATTATTGGTTAATGCAACAAACGCTTGCAGATATTGTGCTGATTATTGTTTAGTGCAACAGTCAAACGCTTGCAGATGTTGTGCTGATTATGGGTTAGTGCAACAAACGCTTGCAGATATCGTGCTGATTATTTGTTTGTGCAAAAAACGATTGCAGAAATTGAGCTGATTATTGGTTAGTGCACTTTGATTTTTAAAAATTAATATTTTACGGGAAGCATATTTTTCGGGAGCTGGGGCTGGGTCGGTTGTAATGTTTATACATTAATTCCATATCCTTTCTTGTTACACTGGCTAAGCTTATACGTAATAGAACCCTAAGCCAAAATCATGATAATCATTAAAATTAATTCCGACTCTGTGTCATCCATTGCCTAATGAAGGTTCCAACATAATAATTAAAACACGAACTAAAAGAAATCGGTCATAGCTTAGACGCACTGTTTTTATACACCTGTTCATTAAATAAGAACTACGTGATAATTTCTAGAATAATAATAAATTTATATAACGATACTACTAGTACACATTTCTACTTTACAATTCTACTTTTAAGACTCCAATGCTATTGGTCATTGCTGATCAAATATGAGGCCATTAAACTTGCTTCGTGAGCTGACTGACAAAGCTCCAACAACGCCGTGAGTGCACACCGTGATCGCCAACGGACACGGTAGTAAACGCCAATAGAGCGCAATGATCGCAGTGTTGTCGCTGTGTCATCGCAATCAAAAAATAAAATGAAGATTAATCTCAAATGCGCGATAGAAACGCAGTGACATCTCCAGGGACTCCGCGGGGTCTCGATCCGTGGAAGGCGCATTTTACTATCACTGCGATCATATGCATCTTCACGGCGTGCCAACAGACCTCCCATTGCGTTTTTGGAGGTCTAACCGCGCTACTACGGCAATCAAACTACGTTCCCAGATCGATAGATGATCAGAGGCGTATAATGTAACAGTTTTGTCCTGTTTGTCCGTCTGTTGTCAACTTAACCTTCGCAATAACTTTTGAACCATGAGAGATAGAGACTTCTCCATATTTAGTATGCATATTCCACTAATTAACGGCGATGGATCCTGATATTTAAAGTCTTAAACTTTTTTAGCCAAGTGTATTTTTAGTTTCTACATACATAGCTTAATTAAAATTCAAATCAAAAAATGGGGGTCAATATGCTTCTTTTGGCGCTACAGTACATTTAATATGACCTTTTTGCACTGATATTTGTGTCTTAATTAAAAATTACATCTTCTACGTTTTCCCTCTCATATTTTCATCCAATTAAAGCATGAAACAAAATGAACTCTAAGTCTGTTTTAAAAAAGACACTTTAAAATTGTTTCGAAGAAAAAGTTTCAAGTTGCTGCGCATAATAAATTATTTGACCTTTTTGCACTAATAAAATGTGATTTTTCTGGCATTGAAAATTTAATAAGCAAGAAAATTATTTTACCGTCTTA